GTCTTTAAGGAGGTGAGACTATGAGGGAGGCTAAACACAAAGTTAAGTCACTGTAGACTATCCTAGATTTCCTCAAGGTGATTTATATGCTGGAATTTTCCAAGAAATCTGAATGTTAGTTTACATTCTATACAATTAGTATTTGATACATGCTTTATAGAGTAATTTATGCTAGGATTTTCTACATAAAACTGTAGAAACGCTATCTTCTGTAGCGTGTTGAATAGAGTCTCCCCAATATTCAACCCCACCTAGGCGCTCAGAATATCACTGTATTTGGAAAAAGGACCTCTGCAGATGTAACTAGATTCACATGAGGTTATGGATCAGGGTGGACGCTAAATCCTACAACTGGTGTCCCTAGAACAAATGATACAAAATGATACCAAGGTGAGTTGCCGTGCCCTCCTCCAGGTGATCTTCCTGACCCAGGAGTTGAACCTGAGTCTCTAGTGTCTCCTGCATTGGCAGGGGGTTCTTTACCACTGGGTAGCCATTCCCTTCTCCACTAGTGCCACCTGGGTGATGTAGCTACAAACCATAGAACTTCAAGGATTACTTGGTCCATTAAAGTTAGGAAAAGCAAGGAAGGATTCTTCTCTAGGATCTGCAGAGGGATTGTAATGTTACTGATACCTTGATTTCAGGGGTCTAGTCTCCAGAACTGTGAAAGAATAAACCTCTGTTGTTCTAAGCCACTAAATTTGTGATACTTTGTTAAGGCAGACTTAGGACACTAATACATCTATTTTGCAGATACTTTCCAGAATGTAAAGAGTGGGTGATGGAAGAAGGGGAAGAGAGGAAGATCAGGAAGCGATGATAATTTCAAAAGGCAGTGTTTCATGTGAAATTAATTGAGGTACAATGATACTAATCATGAATTGTTTCTCCTGCATTATAGTTTGAAGAGGCCCTCTAGGTTTTTAAAAACCCATCTCCTTAGATTGCTTTAAGCATCTTGCTTGACCAATTGCCATCTAAAATCTTCAATTTTGCCCTCTCTACTACATTTCTGTTAGGCTTTAAGCTAAAAACTCCATTACTTTCTATCCCAAGAAAAAACAGACAAAAACAAACATTAGCCTTGACTAGTATGGTACTTTGGTTATAGCTCTTACCTCTTTCTATTTTATCTCAGCCAAGGTTATGGATATAGAAGTCAAGAACATTTATTCCCCAAGTCTACTAGCCACCTCCTCCTTTCAAAATGACTTTGGCCCCACAATACAGGTATAAATACATGATATCAATAAAAATATTTCCCTCAACAATGTCAACAGTTCTCTTATATTCTAAGATATCTATTCTATACCAAATTCAAAATAAAATAAAATGTGTCTGCTATCTTTTTGGCACTTAAAAACAGTGCATGAAGACTATAGCAAACAAACCATAAGGGGAAACAGCTTATTGTTAAACATCAAGATAAGGAAAAATAAAAGTTATTTTATTAATAAATAAACTATGGTAATTTTTTTGACTGCCCTTTGTGTGACATGTAGGATCTTAGTTCCCTGATTAGGGATTGAACCCATGACCCCACAGAGGAAGTGTGGAGTCTTAACTACTGGATCACCATGGAAGTCCCAACTAGAACATTTTTAAATTAAAAAAAAAAATTCCAAGGGAAATAGTTCGTTAGAAGAAAGACAGCTAAATATTAATAACTGACCCATAAATGTTATTTTCTAAGTATTTAGAACTAGAATCCTACAGAATGAATATTACCAGATGACCCTAATATATGAAGTTGAAATGGATGGGGAACACATGTACACCATAGTGGCTTCAAGTCAACGTATGGCAAAACCAATACAATGTTGTAAAGTAAAATAAATTAATTCATTAAAAAAAAGTGTTATGAATTGATGACTCTTATCTATAAAAACTTAAATACAGAAATTCACTGACAAAATAGTATTCACTCAGTCAACCAGCAGTTACATTACATGCACATTTAATTCATATGAATTCAAATCTACACTGGGCAAAAATAAATAAATGAAAGCAATTTTGTAGTAAATGACCTATAAGAAACCAAACTAGCTCATCTGGTATTATCTGAACAACTGCTATCTGAGGGAAAAATGTCCTGTTAGAATTGTTGAGATAATATGGCTTACACAAAATAATGTGGATTATCTTCTATGGCTGACATGGTTTTTTCATGAGTAATGTTGAATTTATGTGGTTTTCTTCTTATATAATGACTTTAGAAGTTTAACCCTTGTAAAAGCATGAAATCTCAATAAATGAATCGAGTGTATTGACAGATATTATGATAAAATATTTAAAAATTAAATTCTAAGTGTCTGCATACAAAAGATATGGAGGAAGAAATGGTTATAATTTGGGATAAACGGCAGGAAAAAGGAAAAATGTGAAAAGTGGCATGTTATGAAGTGATACCAAAAGTCATAAAACACAACACAAAAGCAACAGAAGGAAAGCATGGCAAAGTGAGAAAGAGAGGAAGAAACAAACAAAACTTTTGATTTGCAGAGATCCAGTAACTGCTGCTTGATTATCTCACATTAAAGAGGGGGAGGGAGGGACAGGAAGATATCTATGACCGCAGTTTTTAATTCCTCTATTTTGTTTTCTGAAAATTTCAAGTGATCAATAGGTGATTAGATATTCACTGGAGATATAAAGCACAAAATATGTGTTTTCATGCTTTAATTATATAACATAAATGTTTTATTTTTAGCCATGTTACTCTTAAATCCCTAGGGCTACTGAGTAATCCATGTCATTTTATTTCAACTTTTGAGGTTAGGAGTACCCATGAACGTGAACATAAAGTATTTGTATGTGCATCCATGTGTGTATGTGACTTATGATATACTATGTAATGACTCACACATATTTTATTTAATTATAAAATAACTCTAAGAAATAGAGAAATAGAGATACAAAAAGTAAGACTCATGTAATTAGTCCAATGGAAAAGACCAAATTGAGTTGTGTTCTCAATCTGGAAACCTGTCTCCAAAACTGGCATTCTTAACCCAATAGTATGAAAAATCGACTATGACATACTGTATATAATATAATCTTATTTACTACTAACAATAGCTCTGCTCCACAAACATAATGATCCCTGCTTTACACATAAAGAAACTGAGTTTCAAAGAAGTTATGTTTATTTGTCCAAAGACAGACAGCTAATGTGTGACAAGTTAAATTAGATTAGAATCTGTTTGACTTCATATAAAGTTTGAAATAAAGAATGATTCAACATTTATAGAAAAAATAAAATCAGTTTCCTTACTAATTAATCAAAGTGTACCTGATTTTATCCACAGAAAATCCAAGACTTGTTTGAAAAAAATTAGTGTTAAAAATCACCAATTATTGGTTGTATTATTTTTCATATTAAGAGAATTAAATTTTACTTACATTAACTCTGCTAAAATAAAAATTCCATTCACTAGGAATTCATTAATTTAATTTTAATCAGAACTTTTTCCTTCTCTTTTTGAATAGAAATACATATATAGGCTACTATAAAATACCTCCCAGTGACCAACAAGTGTACGTATCAGGAAAGGAAATGTGATTTTCTTCTTTTTCAATCCTTTGGCTGCATGGCATCCCAAGGATAGACTCTAATAGAACAAATGAATGGCTTCCAAAGAGACTCAGATAGCCATGCAGTCTTCTGGATTAGCACTGCTAAGATTCTATCAGTAACCAACTGATATTTTTGGTGACTAGGGACTACAAAGCCCTCCAGAAAGGGAAAACTCTTCTGAGCACAAAAGGCAATACAATAAACACGATTATATGGATGATGCTTTTCTTTCTAAACTGCCCTTCTCTTCATAATCAAAGAGCTCAACTCTGAATAAATCAATCAACATGCTAAGGAATAAGAGATTGCAGAAAAAGACACTGTGCTAATGCTGGTATCATCAATTTTATTTCAAGGTTAAAATAAAAGGTTTAGTGCTTCCCTTCTGATGATAACGTTCTCTTTACTAAGTTGTGGATCTTGGACTTGTTTCAGAATAGAGAAAAGGAGGATATATAGGTAAATTCTCATTATAAAAAATTGGACTGGAAGCATCAGCTTATTTTATTATCAGCAGAAACATTAAGTGAAGATGTGATTCAAAAATCTTGATATGATAAAATCTGTATTCTTCTGCTAAAATACTCCATCATCCTGACCGAGACATTCATTTCCTAGCAAATCCTTCACCATTTACAATCCTGTAAATCTAAATTACAGAAGTCTAAAAAACTTTCAGCCTCTCTCCCACACTTTGCTGTTCACTAAATATCCTTTGCCTATCCAACCATAAACAGAGCTTAACTTGGGTTAGATCCAGCTGGATTTCAGATCCAAAACCTTTAGAAGCCAGGTAAGTGACTTCTAAGACTTGTGATCAGGGAGATGTGAAGTCAGCAAAGGACACATTATCTTCTGAGTGCCAATGTAGAACAGATTGTCAGGTTAAGAAAGTGAGCTGAAATGTCCTTTGCTGTCTTTTTATAATCACTGCTGTTGTAGAAACTAGGTGCTTAAAACCAAAATATTTTTTATCTGCAAATGTGTTTATAAAATATAAAACTAATATAATTGTTTTGTACCTATTTTGTCATTATTATAATAGCTCCATATTTGAATATATGCATATTTGTCAGAGCAGACTTTGCTTTATGCTCTGGTAATTTCCTATTTTATGAAATTCCATTATGAAGGCACTTGCAGGGTTACTGGATATACTTATTTTTAAAAATTAAAAACAATCCTGTTTTCATTTTTATATTGTTGTTCACCTGTGTACTTGACTGCAAATTCAGAATGCAAAAAATAATCTCAAAACTTTATTATTACAAAGCTACTATCCAAAAATAATTTTTAGAGTAAAGTACTTTATGAGTAGTAAATATTTTCATTAAAAAGCAACTAACATTATGAATAGCATACAGTGAAAATAAAGCATGTTTATAATGATATATTATATGATGAGATGACTCTTACTTACCAAACTCCTTGGGAACTGCTATGGAATAAACACAATTATGTCCCACACTATAATTTTTTGGATAGTTTGGTGATAGAACAGTGCCTTCTGAACCTGTTGAACGACTTCCACATGGTGCTGAAATTGAAAAATATTATTTTTAGAAAAAATTTATAATATGAATATTTTCTTGATATAAAGATATGGCTAATTGATTTTAAGGTATATCATTTATTTACATTTATTTTAGCATGGGTCCCCATTGTCAAATATTTTAAAAATAAAAAATTGTGCACCTAGGAAATTTATTAAGTATTCAGATTTACTCTTCTCAGAAGCAAAGTAATATAATAAAGTTACAATGGTGCTATCTATCTCTAGAGGTAATAATGGTGGCCTGCTTTCATTTATGATAAAAGGGTAAAGATAATCATCTCTTGTAAAATGATGAGAAATTACACACACAATTGGGAAACTGTTTTACTCACCACCAAACTTTGAATTTACTCAAAATCAACTGTGATTATGCTCCCATCAAATTAGGTATTTCTATACCCAGGACAGGGATGGCTGCATAAACACATTCATCCACTCATCTAAGTAAAATATTCTCTCACCAATCTCTTATCTGCTTGTGATTTACATTTAAATTAGGAGTTGCTGATGGTGCATAGAGATGGTGCATTTCTGCTACCTCAGCCCCAAACGTGCTGTGTTCCTTAAAAAGATGAGGGTGAAACCGATTTCTGGAAAATTTGTAAATAGTGGTTTTGTTGTTCACAAGATAAGAGGATGTTTTGGATTTATAGTTCTGGAACACAGAGAAAGATTTGGGCTACTAAAGGGGTTATAGTTATCAAAGCAAAATGTGATAGTTGATATTATTTAAATGAATGAGATCTTCTAGGAATTGTGTAGAATGAGAAAGATGGCCAAAGAGGAAGCCTGGAGAATGCCAAGGTAGGATTAGGGGGCGGCCGCATGTAACCAGTTGCATCCGACTTTTTGTGATGCCATGGACTATAGTCGTTAGGCTCGTTTGTCTATTGGATTTTCCAGGCAAGGATACTGGAGTGGGTTGCCATTTCCTACTCCAGGGGATTTTCCTAATCCAGGGATAAAACCTGTGTTTCTTGGCAGTGAATTCTTTACCACTGAGCCACCTGGGAAGCTGAGAGGGTGGCTACAAAGAATTTAAACTACTGGGAACCAAGAAGGAGGAAAGTTCAATTTAAAAAAGTGTTCAAAAAATGTTTGGAGATGGCAATGGCAACCCACTCCAGTATTCTTGCCTGAGAAATCTCATGGACAGCTGAGATTGGAAGACTACAATCTATGACATCTCAGAATCAGACACTATCTAGCACCTGAAGAACAACAACACATAATCAGGCAGATTGTGATTTGGGAAGATAGTTCTTGATGGAAACGTGGCATAAAATGGAATGAAGTGACCTAGCAATATGGAATACAGAGTTTTGTAAGAAATTAACATATATTTCTGCTTTACTGACTATGCCAAAGCCTTTGTGTTGATCACAATAAACTGTGGAAAATTGTGCAAGAGATGGGAATATCAGACCACCTCACCTGCCTCTTGAGAAATCTGTATGCAGGTCAGAAAGCAACAGTTAGAACTGGACATGGAACAACAGACTGATTCCACATTGGGAAAGGAGTATGTCAAGGCTGTATATTGTCACCCTGCTTATTTAACTTATATGCAGAGTACATCATGAGACACCCTAGGCTGGAGGAAGCACGAGCTGGAATCAAGATTGCCGGGAGAAATATCAATAACCTCAGAAATGCAGATGACACCACGACACCACCCTTAAGGCAGAAAGTGAAGAAGAACTAAAGAGCCTCACGATGAAAGTGAAAGAGGAGAGTGAAAAAGTTGGCTTAAAGCTCAACATTCAGAACACTAAGATCATGGCATCTGGTCCCATCACCTCATGGGAAATAGATGGGGAAACAGTGGAAACCGTGTTGGACTTTGTTTTGGGGGGCTCCAAAATCACTGCAGATGGTGATTGCAGCCATGAAATTAAGAGATGCTTACTCCTTGGAAGGAAAGTTATGACCAACCTAG